CTATCTCGATTTTGATATGAGAGTTGACAGATTTGACCGTCAGTTTGTCTCTCGAGTGATATGCCCTTTCTTTTAGCCTACGTAACCATTTCAGTCTATCAGAGATGAAGCGATTGGGCTGTAGATGAATCCTTTCTTGAGCGCAGCACACATTGTATTGTATTGTATTTGTATAAATTTTTGCGAGGACGGACTGTTCGGATATCAGTCAAAAATTACACATCACATCAATAGAAGGAAAGATACAAGTAAAATATTTAGCCTTTAGGGTTACTTAGAAATTCTGAAGAAGCGCGCTCTCGGTTTACAAGGATTCTAGCAAGATAGGGAACTGGGGAATTTCTATAGAGACTAATGCTAGAGGGTAATAATTGATAAGAAGAACGTGTAGACGCATGAGAGCAGCATTTAGGCAAATCACCATGTAAGGGATGGTTGGGGCCAGCGAGGATTTTCTGGGCAAATGTTTCACATGCGGACAAGTGAAGTTCACACAGATTTTTATATAGCTCATCAACGGGTATAAAAGACACGACTGATGATCGACAAGCCTCGAAGAAGAATTTTGAAGTCTTTCTTTAGAAGACCAGCAAAATCACCAGGAAACAATAGAGAAGAACGGGGAAAACACATTGATAAACAGAAGGTGAAATGATTTTTTGCTTGGCATTGAACTGCCTAAGTCTTCCAAGTTGAAAAGATAATCTCCAAAGTTTCTGTACAGAGTTGTAAATATGGGATGTCTACTTTACGTTAGTGTCAATTGTAACTCCCAGATACTTCACATAATCAACTTATAAATTTATGACAGACGGATAACGAGGATAAACAGATCGAAAAAGGGAGAAAGTGCATTTGAAGCACTTGGATAAATTAAAAGACAGTCCAGAAGGAACGGAAAATTCATGAATATTCGATAGATTATTCGAGAAATGTAGAAGGTCCTCAGGCACAATAGTTGAGATAATTGGTGATGTTCTCACTGAAGAATGAAATATCAGGATCGTAGAGTTGTTGTAAGTCCGTAACACAGTAACAATGTTCTGAAGAGAAAAAAGTGTTTAAAATCTCACATATGATCTGTAGAATCGTCAGTAGCGATGTGACAGATTTCTCCAACATGATTGGATAGAATATATACAGGAAGGTGGACAACTCACTGAGAGTAGATGACTGAAGAGTGACGCAGGAGAAAACGGGGTTCACATTCCACAGAAATTCAAGAAATGTTTTGTGTGCAGTGAGTGAATGTGCATTTGGTCGAGTTACACCACGAACGATGCACATATGTGATGACACCACCACCTTTATTTTTCCTTCCTGGAGATCTATCTGCACGAAATAATTGGAAGCCTTCGATCCAAACCAAGTCGTACTCGATGGATTCTTGTAATCACGATTCTCCGAAAGTGGCACACAAATTTTGGATTACTCTTCGTAATGAATCAGAAGACCGATGTCCTATAGCTTAGAAAGAATTGAGCAGACATTCGACGACAGAATGATCGGAAAACAAATGCTCTTCAGGTTTTGATGCCCAAGTGCATTTTTCCAGCCAGCGCGGTGTTTTCTTCATTTGCCATGTAAATTTCTGGCAATTCTTTTAACCTTATTTCTCACAAAACGATAAAAATCATGTAGGGACGGTTAGTTGATATATTTCACGGATAATGGTCCGGAAATTAAACTGAGCGCGTTGTAGGTTATCAATCAGGTCATCGTAATTGATACAAAAGTATATCCAGAGGTAATGTGTGATGAGAAAATCATAGCTCCAGCGGTAACAAAAAAATAACACGGCCAATTTCAAAGGCACTGCCATCATAAACATAACTGTTATCTTTTTATAAGTGGTGATGAACCGTGCCACCAAACGGTTTCTAAAAGAGGCAACACTGTCACTTTGAAGCCACCGATACAAGCGAGTGAATGTCCACACCTAAAATCAACATTGCCCCTACATGTAATATTGCAGTATCTGGATAGGATTACCGAATTTAAATAATACAAGGAAATAACCGATTAATATACTCACATTTTCAATACCTATAACCATGTTAGGTAATAATCTTTAACAGAGAATGGTTAGTTGTTCTCAGTAACCTGTGTGAAACCAAATTTAGTTATACACTTACATCAACGTGAAACAGACCTATACATGTACACACGAACACTTCATTTCTCCTGAATTCAAGACCATTACTTAACAACTCCTCACGTAAAACTTCAACTACCTTTGCGAACCATTGGCTGTCCTCCATGTGTCTAAGCACCATATAGTGCTCCCGGAATTAAGGACAAATAAATTGCCCACATTTGTGGGCCACAAATTGTCCGGTGTTTGAGTGACCGCCAAAACATACGAGGAGCATCGCCTGTCTGTGATGCGTAGCACATAGGTGAAACGAGCAACCTGTCCAGGACCCAAAACACTATTGCTTCCTTGTTGAATAAACGGAGTGAAATCGAACAAATCCACGCGTTGGGCCAGAAAGTTCCACTGAGCTGGAGTGGTGGCCTAATGAGGCATCAATATCGACAAAACTTTTGGTCAGAACGTGAAATTTTCAGTGATCATTTCAATACTGTGCGTGCATATATATGAATATGTGGTAAAAATGAAAATAAACGTCTTAGTCCAAAGTGAAAATCGAAGGAATTGATAGAGATTCAAACATCTGGTTCCCAGAACCCGTGAGTATGGTTTCATTTCTTCCGTTGATCATCATGTTGTGATGTGTGAACGCAACAAAGATTGCAACCGCATTCCTTCAGGACGGTCAAATACTTGAATGAGCGGTCGATCATTACCAAATGAGAAGTAATCCCTAGANATGTTTTGAGGTTTAGATCTAGTTCGTGAGTCAGTGGTGACAGTAAGCATACAGAATCTGTGCGCAATATGATGGATTCGAGTTGGATTGATCACGAAATGACCAATAGCATGCCTTTCAGATTTCACAGGTAAAAGCGAGTGAAGGCTGACACCAATTTTCTACTTTAGCACTGTTAATGATCGTATGGACAACGGTGCGCCTGCAACCTGGGACCCGACAACTCCTCCAGTAGTTATAGACGATTTGCTTCTAACGGGGCACATGGTTAGGAATCATCTAGAGAGCTTAAGTATGAACAAGTCGGCTGGTCCCGAAGGTATTCACCCAGCCGTTGTGAAACCATCAGCGGGCATCTTAGCTCGACCACTATGTCAACTAGTTAAGCTAAGCATAGAACAAGGTATTCTACCACGGGACTGGAAAACAGCCGTCGTGGTAGCCATACATAAATTACAGGCCGGTAAGTTTGACTAGCATTCTTTGCAAGGTGCTGGAAAGGATTATCAGATCTGTAAGCACTTAGTGGACCAGTCTGTGCCGAGCCTTGCTCAGCATGGGTTCCTGAAAAACAGATCGTGTCTCATTAATCTCTTGTGCTTCCTAGGTGAAGTAACTCGCAGGTTGGATAAAGGCAAAAGCGTAGAGGTATGCTAACTTGACTTTAGTAAGGCGTTCGTCTCCGTGAATCATCGCCTACTGCTGATTAAGTTGAAAGCCGTCGGCATAGAGGGGCAAATAAATAACTGGATATCTAACTTCTTAAGTGGTAGATCTTTCCAATTAAGAGTAGGTAGTTTCAATTTCAACCTGAGGAACAATACTAAAAGAGCACCTCAAAGATCGGTGCTGAGACCCATCTTACTTGCACTGTTTATAAATGACCTAGCCTTTAGGCTCCAGTCACCTAGCTTTTTCTTCGCGGGTGATGTAAAAATCGTAGGATGAGAGGGGCGAGAGGATCTGGTCAGGGATATCGCAACAGTCCTAAGATGGGCCCTCAAGGGGGGCTTGCCACTGAATGCTGATAAAAGCCAACTGCTGTCACGGGCCTTAGAGGGTATCATAGTTGGCCGCGAAAGAGGTTGGAGGCGGCGGAAAATGTAAAAGACCTAGGAATCTCAATAACTAGTGATCTTAGGTGATCGAATCAATGTGTCAGAGCAGCACAGAAAGCTAGGCTTGAATTATTTGGACCAAGGTCAGCGTTGTCATGTCGTCAACCTGAGGTTTTCATACCTCTGTAAAAGGCCATAGTAAGGCCCCACCTAGAGTATTGTGTCCGGGCATGATCATACTTCTTCAAAAAAGATGCCGCCTGTTAAGAACGGGTTCAACGGCTGGCAAAGAGGATGATTGAAGGTCAGTGATGTAAAGACTACAAGCAAAGGCTTCCCTTTGGAAAAGAGAAGGCTTAGGGGAGATATGATACAAACCTTTAAGATAATGAAAGGCTTATCCGGTATCAGACCAGAAACCATGTTCAAGGAAGCGCTAGATTCCCGTACAAGGGGAGAAAAAATGAAGTTAGCCGAGGTCCGGTCTCGACTGATCGCCCGGTCTTATTTCTTCAGCAACAGGGCAGTCAACATATGGAACGGATTACCTGTGGAGCTAGTAGAACTGCAGACCGTGCTAGCATTCAAGACGGCCCTCGAAGAATGGTGGTCTGAGCTTGTTTCTGAAGTGAATGTCTGACCATTCATCTAGTGGCTTAAGAAAACCAGGTTGCATGTTTTCGTTTCATCCTACCATTTATTGGGATGTAGCCTGGAAGATGAACGCTCACGACTAACAATCTCTCGCATTGGAGGTGAGATGAGGTATCTTTCATTTTTCTTCCTCTTTCTAGCCAGAAAGTTACGGACCACGTTTCGCAGTGGTGGGTGCCACACTCGNTCCTGTGCAAACTGAACTGAACTGAACTGAATTGAAAGTTCAGAGCAAAAACATGAAAGATAAATGTCTAAATAGTTGGGTCTCTCGCATTGGTCGTCTAGCCTAGGATTTGTCTTTGACGTATATACAGAAACTTTAGAGAATACGGCTGTCCTAATGGGTTGCCGAAACGACAACAAAACCGCACAAAACAGTACGGAAAATCTACTGTGGAACATTTGAGGAAAAGTTTCGATAATATTCTGATAAC